ATCACCATCACCATCACCATCACATCATCATCATCATCATCATCATCATCATCATCATCATCATCATCATCATCATCATCATCATCATCATCATCATCATCATCATCATCATCATCATCATCATCATCATCATCATCATCATCATCATCATCATCATCATCATCATCATCATTCCCTCCTTCCTCCCTCCTCCTCCTCCTCCTCCTCCTCCTCCTCCTCTTCCTCCCTCCCCTCGTCCCCCTCCTCCTCGTCCTCCTCCTCCTCCTCCACTGGGCCCCGGGCCTGTCAAAAAAACTGCTTCGGATTAACCGTGGGTCCAGACCTCTTGCGAGCCACGCTGCAAAAGAATCACGACTTCAGATGCCTGGGAGAAGAAGAGGAGAGGAGAGGCCTAGCGGGGATCCAACAAATTCACGGCCTGGCGCACAAATTAGGGATGCAGCTCAGTAGAGATGATGCCACCTGCGCAGCTTCGACATGAGCGCGATACTGTCCGCGTGGCACGCTCAATCTTCGGACACATCGATGGGCGGGATGGCCTCCAACTGATGCACTTCGGGCAGATCTTCGATCTCGATAGTATTGTCCCACATAATAAGCTGCTGCACCATCCTTTCCTGTGCTGCTTGGTGAGCCTTGCTGGGCGAAGGGAACGGCGCTGCCTCTCGGCTGACGCTGCGCTTTTCCCTGGCAGCGCAGCCAGGATGTCCAGTGGCAGCGAGCTCCTGGACTGACTCCTCCGACCTGATGCTTCTCGCCCGAGGCTCGTCGTTGTCACAATCAAGTAGTGGATTGTCATGAAGGTCGTGCACTGACCCGTTGATTCTGCGCTCTGCAACATGGCTTCTTCTGGCTGCCCGAGGCTCGTCATTGTCACAAGCGTGGAACTCTTCACACTCCTCAGGCATCTGCGGCACTGGCGCAGCTTTCTCCGCGCGCTGCTCCGAGTCCTGCTTGCGGCCGTGCTGCATCTGTTTCATGCTGTTGGCAAAGCCTCCAGGCAGCCTGTCGGTGCACGTGATGCCAAGGCGCTTCAGCGACGGATGCTGCGGGACGATCCGGGCGAATTTCTCCACCACGTCGAGGTGCAGCCTGTTCCTCACCAGCCAGAGTGTCTGCAGGCAGTCGTTGACCACCAGTGCCTTCGCAATCAGATCTGCGCCGAAGCCCTCGACGCCGTTGTCGTCGAGGTAGATCTCCTTGACAGACCGGTTCATCCTGATCACCTCGGCGAACGCCGCCGCGCCGCCGTCTCCTATCCCGTTCAGCCCGACCGACAGCTCCACCAGGGCCGTGTTGCTACGGAGGCCCTGCGCGATGAGCTCGGCCCCCTCTGGGCCGAGGCCGCAGGCGCGCAGGCTCAAGATCCTGGGGGACCCCCCCCAACAAAAAGCACGAGCACAAAGTTCTGGAGCGGCGCACGCATTTCCTGGATCGGCGCTGGGCACCCCTGGAGTCCATCCGAGCGCCCGGGAAGGGGGCCCCAGCGCCGAGCCAAAAAACGCCGCGCGGGGCTCCAAACCACGGGTGCTTCTCCCGTGGAGCGCTCTGCGAGATCCGGAGCGACGAGTTCTCTGAGAGGGCCAGGCCGATCGCCCGAGCGCCAGCCGCGCCCACCGGGTTCTCGCACAGGGCCAGCTGCCTGAGCCCGCTGTTCACGGTGAGCATCCTCCCGAGGGCCACCCCCCCGCCGCCGCTGACGTCGTTCCTGGGGAAGCCAAGTGGCACCGATGCCGCTGCTACCCGGGCCTCTCCCGGAGTGCGTTCGGACCAGAACTTCGAGGCGAACCCAGCGGTGACGACAGGGGCCTCCGAAAAGGCCCAAAAAGTGAAAAACGGGGAAAACGGCAGGAGACCCCAGAATCGAATCGATAAGTCGGATCGGCGATCGAAATGGATCGGATCGGCGGAAATCGGCAGCCGAGTCGGGAGAAGTCGAATCGGCGGAAATCGGGAGGCTAGTATGCCTCCAATGATAAATCGGAACCCAGATCGGAATCGGAATCGAAACAAGCCCTGAAAGGGCAAAGGTATGGGTGCCTTTTCATCCTCTTGAGTTCCTGGCCAGGTCCAGGTGGCGCAGCGCGCAGTTGCCTCCCAGGCGGGCGGCCAGCGCAGTGGAGCCCGCGTCGCCGATGCCGTTGCCGGACAGGTCCAGGAAGTTGATGCTGGTCGTGTCCTTCGGTGGCAGCTCATAGGAGCCTCCCTTACGGTGGGGGCGTTCGTTAAGGAATGTGCCCAGGAGGCTGCAGACCCTGGAGGACTCCTTATCTGATGAG